TCACTCGACAATTAAGAGTGGAGAATTCACTCTATATGAGTGAAAAATCACTCGAATTCGAGTGGCTCGGCTGTCACTCTGCTTTCCCAGTGAAATTTCACTCCAAGAAATTTAGAGAATAGAGCGCGCATTCGACGATTTTCGAGAAAAATGGATGGCAAAATGTATGTGTATTATTTCGCTTATCTCTCGAATTAATTATCACGCGGGGCTTGTATACGTGAAATTGAAGCAACAAGGGGAGCAGACACGCGGCGGGAACGCGAAGAAAAATGTGACCACGGTAGAGAAGGGCTTTGCTGTGTAAAGGAGCCGTCACTAAAAAGCATCACGAACAACGAGCGGAAGCAACACCCGCGAGCCGTGAAATATTACGACTATTTATTCGGTTCTTTTTAAGAATATCCTCGACCGATGAATATCCAAGATCTCACCAAGACTCTGCCCGACTCTTTCCGTAATATCAATTTACTTCGTTGAGATCTTGAATTGCGCCGTTTCTCTTCTTCTCGCGCCTCCGTCGTGACAAGAGGAAGCGTCGATGCGCCGAATACCGAGAGACCAGATCCTATACCTCCCCCACCACCCGTATTACCCTCGCGAGTTATTTTCCTTTCTAGGTTAAAGATAACCGCGCGAGAAATTTTCTCTCTTTTCCCGATGGCATCCGATAGTTTCCGCCATTTATTGACAATTTATAGAAGTCCTCGGGATCCTGCGGACTTCGTATAGATAAGAGTTTACAAAAGTGCCAGCGACTATTGGAGATCGCGGATACTTCGGCAGTATTACGCGAAGTTAGCGAAACATGTTGCACACAGAGAAAGAGGAATCAAGCCCATGCATTATACCGACACGCAATTCTTCTTCAACAAAAAGGTTTCTCGTAATTTTACTTGACGTTGCTTCGTGCCAAGACGACTGTCGATTTATTTCAATGAACTCGACGACGTTTCCCTCGGCTATTTCAGGCGATTATTAAAGAAATTAAAGTGAATTCCTCGTTGACGCCTTGGGTTTGTTAAACATTGGAGTATTATTAATATAAAATATCTTCACAAAAAATCCCTCCACTTAAGCAATATATTCGTCTATTAAAATTTATTAAGATTAACAGTTCTTCTCTTTTTACGCGATTCTTTCTTATTAGATACAAGATATGATAAAAACGGATAAGAACTAATACATTTTTATTTTTAAAAGAAACGTACATTTAAAGAGACAGAGACATATGGCAAGCTCAATACAGAGAGAGAGAGAGAGAGAGAGAGAGAGAGAGAGAGAGAGAGAGAGAGCAATCATTGACTTCTTTATTTTAAGTTATGTAGGGAATATCAATGAATATAAAATAATTAATTTTCTTGAAACTTAACGCTTACTATAAGTATTTTCAGCATCTTATTGGTTTGCAAAAACTCATATAATATTAAAATCATTTTATTTATTGATGAGATGATATAATATTTTAATCCAAGTATTGACCGTTGTTGTCAATAACCTTTTGTCATCTTTCGGACAATAATTATTCTGCTTCACTACAACGCTAGGGATTTGATCCTGCGCCGATAAAGTGATTCATCTTTTGAGGCAATTTATTCATCGATTCATTTTCGCACTTCCTCAGCATTTCGGAACCTTGTATCAGATAGACCGTGTTGCATCGATCTGAATGGATGAAAATCAGATAAGGCGATGTCTGGAGAGTGCGCTGGATGCGGTAGAACTTCCCAATCTAACTCGAACAACGTCTCTTTAGTCGCAACAGCAACATGCGGCCTGGCGTTGTAGTGAAGCAGAATAACTTTGTGTCGATTCGCGACTATTTGAGGGCGTTTTTCCTTCATAGCTTGCTTCAAACGCCATAACTGACTGTAACAATCTCCTGTAACCTTTGCGCCGGTAGTAATAGCTTATAATAAGACACTCTTTATATATAATAAGAATAATAAGTTCCACCATACAGAAAAATATTACGACCGTGGAAGTTGCGTTTTGTTTTGGATGTCGATGGTTGACTTGAATCAACTTATGACTTTTTCTATTTAAGACTATTAAAATAGATCATTATCTGTAATTATTCGCCACAAAAAACTTTTTTTTTTGTGCCTAGCAAGCAATGAGGGACAGATAATAAACTGACTTGCAATCACGCTCGCAGAGAGTTCATGGGGAAACTATCTTCCTTCCTTCTGGGTCTTTTCCATTGCTCTCAAATGATAGGATACTAGTTGATTCATCAACTCCTATCCTATCTCTCGAGTTGTTTTAATGTTTGGGCCGAGTTTTGCTTTTAATTCCATCTCGTTTAGACAATCAAAATATGACTTGTTATTGATATCGTAATTACCATTTCTAAACATCTTTTTTTAAACAACTTCTCACAAACAGCAGCAGATACAATATTCTCTCCATAGGTCTTACAAATCAGTCTTTTAGATGTTTAACCTTAAAATGATAACGCATGCAGTAGCAAAGATGAACTTTATCTGGTTCTATCTTTAATCGCGTTAAATGTAACATTTTGTTCGGAATTATGAATTGTCAACCATCAATTCTAATCGAGTATGGTTAACATTTAAAAAGTAAAAAGTAGCTTGAAAGAGAACAATCATTAAGTTGCTGCCATCTATTTGTGATATTGTGAACTTTTGCAAGCACCTAATAATAAATAGGAGAGTCATTTGTATCTGACGTATTCTTTTGTCAACTTAAAATTGTTGAAATGTCCTTGAAAAATTCATATAGCTTCTTTCAAGTCTCAACTAATAAATTATGAGATTATTAGAAAAAGAAACAGTTGTATATGATTTTCTAAATTATCATTTTGGCAAGTTATTGTTTTTGTCAGAAAAGTTACTTTAAATTAAGAAATTATAATTCTTGTAATTTTTTTTTAAACCAAAATTTGGGATTTTATATTTAAGACCGTAACGATTTATAAAAAAAAATTTATTATAGTATCTTAAAAAAGATCGAATTATTTCGGCATGTAAAAATGATATATTTTTGTATAAGAAATATTAAGACTAAATAACATAAAAAACTTTTACATATTATATTAAAGTGAGAAAAGATAAAAAGTATAAGAAGCATAAGAAATACAAAAATCGGAGAAAAGAAACATATATCCACAAAAATTTAACTTTGTTAACTGTTTCCATGTTTAACCAATTTTATAGTTTTGTCAAAATTAAAAAATACTACATTAGTTAAATACATTAAGGTAATTTAAAAAATTCTTAAAACATATAATATATAGAAATATAAACATATAACATAAAGGTATGAACATATTATTATACATAAAGAAAAACAAATTTTAATTTACCTACATTGAGAAAAACAAGTGGTTGAGTTAATAAGACTTTGTTTGAATAAATAAAATTCGTTTGAACATTTTTAATAGATTGATGAATTACACTGTTGCTGCGACGAATTATCAATTGATTCAATAATTGCGATTTGGTCGCTAACTATATCAACGCAACTTATTGTTGCATTAACATTAATTTGTTCAATAGACAATATTTTTTTGAAGACGTGTGACCGCCGATTCTGTTGATTCAGTTATCTTTTTTTATTCAGCGTACGTAAAAAATAAACGCTAAGTAAATAGAGGATCACTCGTGTCTAGGATCAATTTGCTTCAGCTGTTATTCAGACAGTAACTAACGAACTTTGTCGTTACTGAGCCTCAAGTGCCTTTATAATGCCAATTTTTTTTTAAGTACATATAAAAGCCTTTAAAATTTCAGAATGAGGAAAAATACAAAGTTATTAAAAGTGCCCGGACGTGAACGACTTCCCTATTCATGTTAAAGGCTAAAAATCACATCATTAAGAAACTCTTCACAGAAAAAAGTTATTACTCATTGAAACTTATCCACTAAAAGCTAATATATTTAAATTAACAATCATTGTTCCATATACTATAAGCAATGATATATAATTTTGTACGACAAATTTTAAGGTCTTCAATTTCAACAATACGATAATTTTATTTGGATATTATAATATATAGCCTCGTAAAAAATACAATATGGTTTTGATGATAATAATATTTTGATGATAATATTTTGATAATATTTTGATGATAATAATATTTTTTTTCGACATTTAAAAGCATCATGTTCTCAATCTCTATTCGTGAAGAGATTATTTTTTAATAATAAGAATATATTTTTCTTTGTTAAATTATATAAAACGTATCGATGCCTATAATTTATTTTCTTTTAACGTTATGTCATTTTAAGATTTACATTAATCTTATTTTAAAATTTACATTAATCTCATTTTAAGATTTACATAACAAAAATAAAGGTATTTTCAAGATAAGAATGTTATTTTTTTCTGTATGGATGATAAGGAAAAATCTGTTTGCGCATTTTTTTTAATAATTTTTTTTAAATACTATATAGATCACATAATTTTATCTATGTGGCAAAAAAGACTTTTTCTGCACAGCAGTGTAATTGAGATTTTTAGGACAGTTCGATTAGGAAGGTTGATTCTCCGCGTATGTTGCAGATGCGAAAAAAATATTCGACGCGTGCGTCGCCTCACACGTTTCAAACATTTTATTGTCCTCCCGTGTCATAAAATGATACGCCCTGTTATCCGCGACTGGTTACTGTACAAGGTGTCCGGTAACTCACAGAGGAGCCGTGATGTACAGGTCAAACTGAACAAAAAATTCCTCTATTTTGCGAACAACTACATAAAATTCTAAGTTATTAATAAAAAAAGATCCATAAACGATCACGCGAATGATAGAACGGTAGTTGCGCTGTAATGGCGACATTTGCCACTACATTAGATCAAATTGAGTAAAAAAGTTCTCTACCATTTTCCAAGTGACTTTGTAGATTTTGAATTATTAATTAAAGAAGATTAGCGGGTGGTCGTTATTAATTAAAAAAGATTGATGCATTATCGCGCACAACTGTACACCGAATTTCTTAGACAGCCTGTTTGCATGCAGATTTACTGTTGGTTTTCAGGGTGAGGGGGCATGTTGGTGTGTCGGCGGTTGCTGCTGATCGCAGCCGCGATCGCGGCCTCGATCGAGGCTGGCTCGGCTAGTTACTCCGGCATCTCGTCGGACTACTCCGGATACCCGAGCTACGCGGTTTACTCCGGAGCGACGTCACCCGAGTCCTCGTTCTCGTCGTCGAGCTCGACGACCGGCCCGACATCGGACACCGCCAACGGCGAGTCGCTCTGCCGACCGTCCGAGTTCCAATGCGGCACCGGACATTGCGTCGCGCAGGACAAGTACTGCGACGGCGAGAATGACTGCGACGACAAGGCCGACGAGCCGAGATATTGCACCCGTGAGTACCGCGCCCGCCGGACGACCGGGAAAACGTCGAACAAAGCGCCGAATCGATACTCACCCCCTCGTCTCCTTTCCCCCCAGTAGATCTCTCTTTCTCTTGTAAAAGGGCCGGCCCGCCTCTATATTAGCGCTTAATCCGGAAAAAAATAAATCTACCTCTCGCCCCACCCCTCAGTCGATCATTTTCTGAGGGAAGAATTCATTCGCTTCGCGACCCTCTCATTGAGTCGCGCGATTTATGTGCAATTGCTGAATAATTCAATAAAAATCTACGGAACCGTCGAGCCATCGCTATCGCGCGTCTTTGAACACTGAAAGAATCTCTGTGAATTTTATTGGGACACATATATGGGATACGCGCGATTAATTGCTGCCTGATGAACGCCGGTTGAACGGCTACACTGAGCCAGAGAGTAATACTGAGGTAAAGCGGGAAATTTGTTTGTCTCGCGGCAAAAAACGGCGAAATGAACAATTGCGGCACGAAGCGATCGTAAAAGGTTCCCGGTTAAAACGCTTGAGTATATTCGTTTCGTGTAATCTCGCATTAGTGAATTACCGGCCGTGAATTAAATTGGGAACAAAGTTCTCGCTCATCCGAACGTATGATGTCGTTGCGGATCGACAATTATTTCGTTGCGGGATCATCGCCTCCGAATTTCTATCAAGACTACAGTAACGTCGCGCTGATTTGTAAATCTATCGATGTTACGCCAAAAAGAACTTTTAATGTCACTAAAATTATAATTATTTTCGGTGTCAATTGTATCAGATATACTTTCATGATTATCACGATGTGAGACAATCGATAATTCTGGAAATTCTAGAATTTTTTAAATTATACTTAAGAGGTAAATATACTATTGAATTAATCATTAAATTTACATCATACATTGATGTAAATTTCTTGTTGGATTTATACAGCAAGAAATTTATTAAAAGACTTACATTTAAATTTTCATATTACATTTTACATAATAAATTTTTTTCAGCAAATTTTGATAATTTTTTTCCGTATTTCTTTCTTCTCGTATCATTTGCGAGATAAATATGGAATGACATGTAAACCATTTATGAGGCATACGAGTTTTACAAATCGACTTGTAAAGTTGCTACGAAATTTGCACTTGTCTATTTTCTTCCTAGATAGACAGATGTATATTCGTGGACAGAGAGGTTGTCCGCTATTTTTGTGTGAGTTTCTAAACGCATTTGTCTTGTCCACAGTGGGGAAAATTCTCCTATTGGAAAACAAATTCTCCCACTAAACAAGACGGATGTGTTTCGAAATTTATTACAAAATTTCGGACAATCTTCCTGTCCACTCATGGGCAGAAAGTCCGTAACTTTTGGGATGAATTTGTGAACTCTGTCTTGTCTAATAAAAGAATCTGTTTTCCAGTGGAAAAACTTTCCCTTTGGATAAGACGAATGGCTTCTCAAATTTAGCCCAAAAAATTCGAACAATTTTTTTGTCCACGAGTATACATAATTTCACGAATATAAATAATAGATAATAGTTTTAATATTCATTAAACCTAATTACAATCGAATTTCACGATTACGCGCAAAGTTTCTACAAATTTGTGCATCATGATTATTCTGTGTGTGTGAAAAAACGATAACAATATTTCGAAATAGCCTTAATACTGTAAGAATATGTAGATATATTACACGTTGTCAAAAAATTCGGTTGGAAATAGGCTTGATAAATGTTAAAGCTATTATGCCGGTTTGTGTACGAAAATTTGACAGCAATATCGATCTGTAAAGATTGTATTTTTTATGAGTGACTCATTTGGCACTTATATTTATTACGTAGAATGACGAAATAAAAATGCGAGAAAAATATACAAAAATTATCAAAATTTATTCAAAACATTATGTGATATAAAATATAATATAAAAATCTGAGTGTGAATTTTAGAAAATTTGCCACTGCATTAATATAATAAAATCTTACAATATTGTATGATGTATTATAAATTTAATGTAATTAATTTAACACAATATATATTAGCTTCATTATGCTTTACAAACATTGTAAAGCATTGACTGTTATTGTAGTAATAATAGGAGTCTGTCTGGGCTATTCTATGTGTTCTTTTAATAGTCTAATATCTAGTGAAAAAATAGTAGTATCAATATATATAAAGTATTAATATCAATATATATAAAGTATAATATAAAGTTTTTGTCACTAACACTTTTTGTAGTAACACTTACTATCAAAGTGATTCCCCTGCTTATAACTCTTTCACTTTTTCACTGTGTAATTTTATAAAGTCGCAAATAACAAATACTTTTTTCTCAGTGTACTACGCGCGCGTACATAGGCGTGTCTCGTTTGTTCACTCGCTCGCTCGCTTGCTTCGGCACACGCGATTTGTCTTAACACACGAGCCACTAAACAATTATATTATATAAATTATCGCGGCAAATAATTCATCTATTCATTATTGATATAATAATAATTATACACCGCCGCATAGGAAATTTAATCGATTTGCGATACACAAACACAATTACATCGTACAAACATCGCATTTTCATTCGTTTGAATCTTTAATTCCCGATAATATATGCGTCGCATTGCGATAGAATCGCGACATAATAGTGTGAATTTATCATAGTGATCCAATTCCTTCGTGGAATTTCAAATCGCGCGTGCTGAAACACACGCCAGGGCTGAACGAGCTAATTACACGGACCAATTATCTGTGTCTACGTTGTCATAGAACGCGAACGTGCGAGGCGCAACTCGGGATCTTCAATCAACATTATCAACACTTAAGCGCTCGTTGCTGACGCGCATTTCGCGCGCACGCGCGCGGCGTTGTTAGTTTCTTAAATGTCGCGTTGTTTCCGCGGTTGTTGCAGCGAGTCCTCGCTGCAAATAAATTATTAAATGCGCAGATATAACAATGATTTATAAAGCCCGTGCTATATGTATTTAATTTCACGAATATTCGGTCGGATGCGCAAATTACACTGCACGAGTAGTTAGGAGTTAATATCGTACAAAATAACATTTTGTCGTGTATCGTGCTATATAATCCAGAATAATTGTAATATACCGAGATTTGTTTTTCGCGCATAATTATCGCACGATAAAAACATTCCAACTTGCCGAACTTCATACAGCTTGATATATGCACGACCCTATTGCAAGAGAGAGAGAGAGAGAGAGAGAGAGAGAGAGAGAGAGAGAGAGAGAGAGAAGAGAGTTAGTTAGTTAGGAGTTAATATTTCGCGAAATGCCATTTTATCTTGTTACGCGAATTTTGGACCTGTTTTCCACGCATAATCATCAAACAATGCAAGTATCGTGACAATTCAAAATCGAACATTTATATCACCTTAACACACAGAGCTTACACGTATTTGTGCGTGACCAGTCAGCCAGTCAGTTAGTCAGAGGACTGAGGAATTTCGTGGGATACTATTTGGCACAATCATAGAATCATACAATCATAGAATACCACTTCGCATTTCCATAATTCGACTCTTGTATTCTCCGCAAATACAGGATGTTTGATAATTAATGCTCGTCTGCAGGTGAACCTGAATCATTAAATTATTAGCTGGAATTACCTGACGTTTCCAGAATTATCACAAAGTGTTGAGGAAATAAAATCAGGGGGAGAGGTTGTGGTGTCCAGCTTTCATGTAACCTATATTTCCCGCAGGGTTGTAGAGAGTAGCTATGCAAAATTTGTTCCAGATCTGTCAAAGGATCTAAGAGTATGTGTAGGGGACCAGCAGATAGACCATCTTTTTCATATATATTGATTATTAAAGTATTAAACTGAACAAAAGAGAAAGTCCTCTATTGTTTTGCAAATTTCGCAATAGTTTTTAAGAAATTAATTTGAAAATATTAGTTAATTAAAATGCACAGGAAAGCGGTTGGACAAGTTCTGTGATGGATAATAGAGATGTGCAGTTCAGCATCTCCTGCCATTGCTAGAAAATCATCAACAAATTCGAACCAATTTGGATCACACGGCCTACAGAGCTTGTGGTACCCTTTTTTCCCATCACTATTACTGCTTAATTAATTTCTTAATAATTATTACGAAGTTTACAAAATACTACTAGACTTTCCTATGAAGTGGACATTAATTTCCTGAATGCTGTGGACATATATATGGTATCAGCGTGGACTGTTGACGCACATATTCATTTTACGAATTTCTTTGGCTTATACTTTCGATATAAACAACAGTTTACAACTGTTGTAATAGGCACTTATATTCATGTTCTTTTATATATTTCAATGACAGCAATAAAAAAATTTTATTTATCCTAATTCACTATTTTTCAACAAATTATTTCAATTTTTCAACAAGTTATTTTTTTTATTGTAATTGACATACGATCCCAAAACTCGTACGATATACGAGTCTAAAGTATATCATCTTCAGCGACTGTTCAGCTTTCTGAAGTGCTTTGCAAAAGGTTACAAGATTTACAAAATAATGGAGATAATTACATAGGAAAGGTTACACATCTTAGTTTAATATGTATTGATAAAATATAAAAGATAATTAATATAAACAAATTTTCTTGAAATTTTCTGGATTATTTAACTTTAACACATCCATTATTTGAGGAATTCTCTTCACAGACTACATTGTATTTGTTTTCATGTAATAGTGTGAAACAAATTTGGTTTGTTTATATTACGATAGACAAAGAAAAATATCATTGCCATAAACATATAATGTTAATAGCGAATATGTTAAGTAAAATTGAAAATTTTGAGTAAAAATGAATTTAAAATGAGAAACCAGTGCATCACACATATACGAGTATAACGCTGAAATCGAATGTATTAATTCTAGAACCCTCAAAGAAACATCAAAAGTTTATGTACTTTAAATACAGACAAATTTTATTTACCGTATTTTCATTTGCTCATAACTTCCAGAAAAGTGGACGGAATTCAATTCTTTTTTTAATCAATATAGAAAACATTGAGAAGTATGAATCTATTAATGTTTCCGCGATTCAATAAATTTGAAGAAAGTTTATAAGGAAAAAATAAGACAAGTTCTTTTTTTTAAAAAAAGTAATATTTGAAAAGTTGATCTGTGTGGATAAATTTTATTCCAGATTTAAATTATATGAGGATCAAATGTCTATTTAAATTATATGAGGATCAATTTTCTACTTGCTTGAAATGTATACAAAGAACAATAATACACAATATGTTTGAAATGACAATAGCGAAGAATAAAATCAATGTCCCTATCAATAGCCAAGCAACCTCATTGTAAAATTTAATTAATTAATTAATAATATATATGTTAAACAAAGTGTAAAAAATTGATTTTGTTAGAAAGCTGGAACATTTGGGATTTTAATTATATTTTCCTAACTTATGTTAGGAAATTTGACAGCAATATCGATCTGTAAAGATTGTATTTTTTATGAGTGACTCATTTGGCACTTATATTTATTACATAGAATGACGAAATAAAAATGCGAGAAAAATATACAAAAATTATCAAAATTTATTCAAAACATTATGTGATATAAAATATAATATAAAAATCTGAGTGTGAATTTTAGAAAATTTGTCACTGCATTAATATAATAAAATCTTACAATATTGTATGATGTATTATAAATTTAATGTAATTAATTTAACACAATATATATTAGCTTCATGTTAGGAAAATATACTACTTATGTTAGAAATTATTCCTACTTATGTTAGGAAAATATTTTACTTCACTTATATTATCTATGAAATATGAAAATAGCTAATATACCACTTAGTGATATGACAGTTTTGTCCCAATTTATTTCAATTTTGTCCCAAAAGACAAACATATGATTTAACTATCAATTAATTTACCAAGAAGTTGGAACAACTGGTCCTGAATTATGTTGAAAATGAGAGAAAGCTAAGATGAATGTCTCAATCATATATGTCTGTCTTTATCTAAATTAAAGGAAAAACAAAGACAGATATATGATTTAACTATCAGTTAATTTATCAAGAAGTTGGAACAACTGGCCCTGAATTATGTTGAAAATGAAAGAAAGCTGAGATGAATGTCTCAACCACATATGTCTGTTTTTATCTAAATTAAAGGAAAAACAAAGACAGGCATATGATTTAACTATCAGATAATTTATCAAGAAATTGGAACAACCAGCCTTCAATGTAAAATTGCAAAATTTTAAAGTGATGTATCTCAAGAAATATATGTACACATATTTTGATACTGTCACACATAGTACATAGTTTAAAATACAGATGACTCCGAATTTTCACTCTTTGTACCATATCTTAAAAACAAAGAAACCCGAAACGCGTAATTTTTTCTATAAGATTCCCTTATAGAAATATCATACTAAGAATCATTGATAATTACTTATTTTCAGTATTAAAAATGCTGGATAATAAGTAATTATCAATGATTCTTAGTATGATATTTCTATAAGAGTTATCCATTCAGCTCGACACGGACCTGCACGCGAGCGTTATGCCATTAATTATCAACCACCCCCTATATAGATATTCCCCACGTGCATATGTAATCATCGTTCACATGTAATCGTAAAAACGTTCCAGCCTGCAATCGGACGTTGTACGGTGACGTCGGCCGGACTTACAGAGTGGAGATACGCCGGCCAAGGGAGGATCGACTGCCATTCTTGTGTCACCTCAACTTCACTGCCGCCGGCTCCGATCTCGGGGATCTAGTCCAGGTTGGACATAGAAATGATGTAGTTGTAGAAAATAATGCTGACTGGTACAGCCGGCCCGGCTCGGCTCAGCTCAGCTCAGCTCGGCCGACCGGCCCGCTGGCTGGCATGAGGAAGGTCTGTCACGGAAAACAGACAGCGGGGCGGACCCGCCGCGCCGGAGCCCGGATAATAATTTATGTCCCGGCTTTTACGATTCTTATCGCGTTTATTGGCGAAATTAAATCGGCTGCCTGCGCTGAGTAAACACCGCGCTCCACCGTCGCGGAATATGCTTACTCGTCAAAGTCCCTGTGAGAGAGCTTCCCCTCCCTCTCCCACTAACTAAAGTTTCCACGAGATATTTTTGAACTCTCCCTTATCCCCGAGCGATATTGACACGTCGATTATTATATCTGCCCGCGATAATATGGAATCGATATTCCACGTTGTTAGCGAAAATCGGGAACGGCTTGAGCAAATCGTAGTATCTCTTCCGTTTCGCTGATAATTATTTTGATTCTGAAATGAGGATGTTATACAGAGGAATCTCGCGATTTTTTAAATTCTTCTGCTTGTCCCGTGAAACTTTGCAGTTTGTTTCGCTTCGCTCGCGCCGTGCCTCGCGCGAGCCGAAATACGACAGCGCCTGTCGCGAGATAATCAACTATGTTGTGATAGAAATGTTTGCTTTTATTGCGGCAAGAGCCCCGTAATAACTGCATTCTAACTTTCGTCTTTGGTTTTATTTCCAAAAAGCAGCGAAAATGCGCGGCACGGTTTTCGCGCGCGGATATTCGTCGGCTCGTAAGTTTTAGAATAATGCTCCTGGTGTTACAGTTAACTTTTGATACCTTCACGGTCGGCCGCTTTCTATCCTTTACGTCGGAAGGATGTCCAGATGGTTTCATGACTATTCGCGAGGAAGGTCGTCCTGCGACAGGAGGACAATGGTGTGGCAGCGCGTGGGGCTACACCGTTTATTACAGCGAAACTCCTTCCATCAATCTGACTTTATATTTACTACGTTTATCGGACCAGGTAAAAAATTACGCTCCGAGGGACGCGTGCTCTGATTTTTTGCGGCACTATGGAGCTCGCATGTTTGTGCTTTCATGCGGATTGACTCCCGAAAGAATCTTCAATGTAAATAACGGGATTCGAAATCAATTGTTTTTTGGGGAGAAAGAGGGCTTGGAAAAATCAGTGTTTGTTTATTCGGCACGTAGAGAATGTCCCTCTCGAAGATCGAAGATAGAAATGTTCATTAACTAAAGAAGTATCAAAACATCTTTGCTTGGTTAAAATGTATTTATAACGTAGAGAAAATTTCAAGAAAATATTAGAAATTTAGATGGCAAAGAATATAAAACTGTACATAGAAGTAATTTTTTTAAAGTATAGAACTTTTTCAATGAATTCGTAATGTGCGTGAAAAAAATTCCGTCCTTATATTCCACTGAATATAAGACGTTTTATAAGTACATGTCAAAAATGCAGGAGGTGATTTCTCATATAAAAATAAAAAAAAAATATGAACATATGAATGCTTTATTTCCAAAATGTATTACTCGAAAAAATAGTTGCAAAAGTTTTTTTTGCGAATAAAAAACGACGGCAAAACATTTCATTTTTGGCATTTTTTTACTTAAAAGTGAAAAGAAGTAATATTTATTCGTTCAATTTTATTTTCTCAAAAATGAAACACATTTTTTCTATTTTCTCGATAATAGTGCGTGCTAACGAATTATGACAAAAATATCTTTTTTGTGTACAAATATCTAAGGATTCCGGAAATTAGTTCATATATACTCTATCTTAGAAGATAAAAAAGTTATGTACAAAATAAGGATAGTCACTTCCTAGTTTTCAACCTTTAACTTATTTTCTGCGAACGAAAATCGTTTTGAAGTAGTATGACCTATTATTAGTACAAAGTTTAAAATTAATGTTTTGTTAATTTTTATCGTTGTCTTTTTATTCGCAAAAAATATTTTAACCATTCTTTCGGAAGATATTTTCCGGAAATAAAGCTTTTAGGATACATGTTTGTATGAATTTTTTTTCTCATTTTGATGTGAAAAATATCTCTTAAAATTTTTACATATACTTAGGAAACACTCTACATTTTATATCATGAATTGCTTTAATGCTAATAAAAATTTAAAGGATTAATTAAATGATTGATTAAATGGTTAATTAAAAAATTAATTAAATAGTTATGTATAAATACTAATATATATATATATATATATATATATATATATATATATATATATATATATATATATATATATATATATA